CAACCCCCAGGCGCGCGCGCACACACACACACACACACACACACACACACACACTCTTGCTGTAATCCTCAATGACAGAACTAGGTCAATGGAGCACCTCCTCTCTTTCTCCCTGCCACCCCCTCACACTGGTCGCCATACTGCTGACGCTGAAAACAAAAACAAGCTGGCCGATGAACTAACTGTGGTAAAACACAGTCAAACACAAGCATCAGTGCTTCAGAGCGCTTTAAAAACAACATGCGCAATAAGGAAAAGCTCGCGCGTTGTTTTTTAAAGTAATGGCTGTTTCATACAAAAGTCATACGAAAGTGCAATGAAATAGAGCAAACAGAAGGGGGAGAAACATATAAGAAAGGGGCGGACTATTTATTCACCATGAACAATCCCTGCTCAACAGATTTTCGTGCGGCTGACAGCCTCTGAATCACTCCGCTCACTCCCTCCCTCCCCTCTCTCTTACATAACTGGAGTCGCTCACCGGCGATATAGAGTAACCGCAGCTACCACACAGGCACAACTAAATAAATGCACAAATCCTTTACAGTTTATAACGAAAAGACGAAAAGCACACATGCATTGAGAACTGCTAGAGAAACATGTGCTATAATTGAAAGAATGCGCTTTTTAACAGCCTATAATGTGCCGATTAGGATTAAACGTATAAACAATTTTAAAGGTGCGAATGGTAACATATTTGCATTTTACATATGACCTGAATAAAGCTAGAAAAAGCTTTTATTTTATTTCCCTCCGTGATGCAAACTGGTGTTTATTCCAGTGCGAGCGTGCAGCCAACTACGCACTTCGGACTCTGCCTCAAAGCGGTGTCTTCATGGCACTAAATGCAACTCCGAAGTTATTTACAAACACCAGACGTGTCCGGCTGTAAAAAACCAAACAAAAAAAAAAACCAAACAAAAAAACAAACAAAGTCTAACAATTGTAATAATTCCCACAAACTCACCTCTCATGTCGGCGGTGAAGTGCAGCCAACTCTTCAAGTCATACAACTCCAGGTGGAAATGAAGCCAAGAAACACTGAGAGCGACGCGCACTTATTTGCTCCAAACTGGAGCAGCTGAAAACTGTCACAACAGCAAATCCTCATATGGATTTTCTACCTTTTTTCTCTAGACGCGCCGACTTCAAAACACAAATGAACGCAAACGGTGTGTTTGAGTTATCGACTTAGTGTCCGCTCGGCGCAGTCTCAGAGGTGTGGTTGTGCTAAAACGCGGACAGTGCAATAAGGCAGCAGCTCCTCGTCCCTCGGCTCTGTCCTGCTCTGCGGCTCGCTCTAACCTACTTTCGGCGCGTGGACTACACATGATCCTCACCCAGCGGTCCGCCCGCCTCGTGCCCCGTGAGCTGACGCGCGCGCACCGCCCTCCGCGCGCTTTAAGGAAGCTCTCGCGTGCGTGGGAAAGTGTGGCAGTGTGTCAGTTCAGACCGACGGTTAACCAGCGTGGGAACTGTTGATGTCCCGGCAGACTCTTTTCCTTTATTAAGAAGCTACAGTGCTTTATATTTCTACCCAGATATCCCCCAACTATGGCGCACGTTAGTTTATATATATCGCGAGGAAGAGACCCTAACATACAGGCTATACATTTTTCGATTGGAGATGAATAAACATTGAGTTCAATGGTCATACAAGTGTTTTACATGTTTTCAGAGATCAGTTCACAGCCTAAACCAAGCTTTATTATACAGTAGGTACCACTAAGTTGTGGTTATGCAAGTGAAAGTACATGGCTAGTCTAACTTTGGCAAACATGTCAAGATCTAAACATGATGTTTGCTCTAATATATGTTGAGTAATATGTAGCCTATTGCAGATTGCAGACAATTCCAGCAGGCCTATCTGAAAACTGATTTTTGTTACATAGTGAAATGAATGTCAAGCATTTGTCACATAGAAGATATAAAAACCTGCATGTAAACAGCTATTTGGTATCATTTTATAAAACATTTTGCGGTAATGGACAGTAACGGGCGAAGACTTCCACCTGAATGATCTTTTATGTTACCATAACACTATAAAAGGTGTATTTTAATATCACTTGAATACATTATACACTACCGTTGGTATCTGAAACACAGATAATTAAAGTGCATTTTAGTTTTTTTCATTTGTTCTATATGGTGATTATAGTGTTTCATAGCTTTCTCTAAAAAACACACATTTCTGTCACTTTCAGCAGAAAAAATGAAGCACTTTAATTGTTAGTTTAGTGCATTAGACAAACAATAGGGATATATGAGATAACATAGGCTACATTTGCTGTGGTATTATTTGGTTGTGAATTAAATTGCCATATCTATTAGAAGAGAAGCTATTGTGTCCCCAGTTTCCCTTTAGCTGGATGCAACATTGCAAGAACTCTGCATTATATCATTGGATTAACAAACACTAATCTTGGTAGAGGAATTAAGTGTGAACACAGATTGTTGTTCTGTTTGTTTTTTTTTTTTTCTTTTGTTCTCCAGTTCCTGAAATGTTGAAATCCAGGTTCGACTTAGAACTTTTAAAGCAGCGAGGGGAAAGCTTTTAAACCAACAGCGTATTAAGATAAATGAATTATGATGTTGAATTGAACCACAGCGTTCAGTGTATTAAACAGTCTATCGCTCTTTCGATTATTACAGTTCACTGGGTTCATTTTCACTCATGTCGTGTCCCTTTGAATTGTAGGCGTGTGCAACACAAAGTAAGCAGGCACACCCTCTGAATCTGCAGCATGAAAGCCTGTGACACAAAGCACGACCATCAATAACAGTGCAGATGAAAATAATTGATTTGCAAGCGTGGGTAAGATGACGAGTGTATCATGTAACTTAGGCACAGTTATGAAATGAGGAGAAGAGAGAGATTATGGAAAGTAGGTTAGTGGAGCAACACAGAGCTTTCACACCCCTCCCTCTCTCGTGGTTCTAGTGTGCATGCGTGGTGAGTCTCCTCCCGTCTTTCTGTCTTTTTCCACTGTGAACGTTTTTTTGTCCTGAATCATGTCTAAATAAAAGCTCATACTTTTACATACAGTCTCTCAGCACCACCTACAGTATGCATGCTTTAGGTTCTTATCCCTGTCTATTGTTCCTCCGTGTTTATGTGTACATGAAGTGTTTTTCCATAGTTTGCTATATGTCCTGCCTCTCCCACTTGTGCAAATAAGTAAAAGAAATAACATCTAAACATAAATGCGAAGCAGTAATGTATTGCTTCTTCCTGAATGCACAGTTTAAAAATACAATGCTGGGAAAAGTGCAGTAAGACTGTTATGCTTTACAATATTCTCTAGCTGTAAACTTCCTCTTCCTCCCATTTAGCTGGTTTTGTCATTCTGATGGTTTCCTTCCTGATCCTCATCTGCCGTCTTTCTCGGGTTATATTCTGTCCCTGAGCATGTCCCTCCATCGCCATGAAGCAGCCACACATCCATCCAGTGTTTGCCTGCAACGTCACTGACCTCCTGACCCTCAATCTTATGTAACCATGGCAATACCCAAATTAGAACATGGAGCGTGGAAAGAAGGAGGCGCTTAGAGCCTCACATACAAGCACGTAGCTCCCAACCAGCTTTCCAGATTAAGGCAGATGGAATGAACGCGCCTGTCACTGTGCGTGTGTCTGTGCACTCTGTGTGTGTGTGTGTGTTCGGCCAGAGGGATAGAAACTAATGGCTAAATCGAACACCTCCTCTAAAACAGAGGTGGTAGTGATCGCACATTCGGAAGTGTTTTCTGCACGTTCAAACTGCCGTGCATAAATGCAGTGACAATTTAATATGTCAAACTGGCCTCTGCCCCACAGAACATAAAGCCCAGTATACTGAGAGGATTATTTTGGGATCCAAGCTCTGGCTTCCATAATCCTTCGTCCTCTCCTCTCCCTCATCCTGCTAAATCCTCTCTCTTCTCCCCTTTCAAATGCCCACTAATCTCTCTCACTCCAACTCTCTGTGTGGCTGTAATCTGGTTTGTACCTATCTTTCACCTGCAACAGGTTCACATCAATAGGTCAGTGTGCCAAACTATAGGGTGCTTCTTCCTTTACTCTTCTTACACTTTGCATACTCATTCCCTTCTCCTCTACAACCTGAGTGATGTCCAGACTGTGCGTTTGAGGGCCATACTGGTACCAATATCTGCAGAAGGAAGTCACAAAAATTACTTTTCAAGATTGAAAGTTCATTCTGCACTATTTTACCACATTGTCTGTTTAGTAGCTCTTCTGGAGCGTTTAATTGTATCACATGATCTTCCCAGCATATGCAGTTGCCTGTTTCAACTGCATGGTCCTCATCACCAGATTGAGTTTGCTCAGTCACCAAAAAAGCTGAATGGCAACTGAGCTAATTTTTTAAATTTAATTTAATTTTTTTTTTTTGGGGGGGGGGCTTTTTTTATTGCCTTTATGATAGTGACAACTGGAGAGAGGCTGGAAAGGGGGGCAGACAGACAAAATGCTAATGCTAGCATGCTAATATGCTCACATTGACAATGCTGATATTTAGAATGTGTTATATGGCAATCTATCCAATAGTTTGTGGAGACATTTCATTCAAAATGCAAATGTCAGGGTGCCTGGATAGCTCACCTGGTCCTTGCTACAGGGTTCGAATACGACCTGTGGCCCTTTGCCGCATGTCATCCCCTCTCTCTCTCTCTCCCACCCTTTCCTGTCACTATTGATTAAAGGCAATAAAATCCACAAAAAATAATATAAAACAAATGTCAACCTCCAGAGGAAAAGTCAGGATATCACCAAACTCAGTTAAATAGCTATCTAGCCCATAGTTGTTGAAACATTTAAGTCTGGACCAAAGTGGTGGACTGATCTGACATGATGTTAACATCAAATGCCTGCCTGTGTATCTACCCACCAGCCCACCTCCTGCACTCATTGAGTCTTTACCAAGTCAGCCAGGCATATATTACTAAAGCTACCCAGCTAGTTGCACAAGAATGGCAGAGAAAGACCCACCAAAATGTATAGTTCCACCTGTAGCTACAACAGTTTGTTCTGCCACAACAAACACAAAAAGAAACACATAAGTAGAAAAGGCTGCAAACAAAAAGTTCTGATAAAGCAGGTCAAACCAAAGTCAACATTAGTGCAGCTTTTCGACTAAGGGACAGGTAATTTATCTGTCTTGTTTTGGGGGGGATTTGTTATTTTCATCTACAATGCAGTAGATAGTACTATGTATGAATGAACATGAGGTAGTTGGATACGATTAGTAATGACAACGATGTGCTGTTGGATACTTCAGAAATCCAGCCATCTCTATTGCTAGTTTCTCCAACGTTACCTACCCCTGCTTTAAACGGAAACAGCACTAATGCTGCTGCTTTAGTAGTCTGCTGCTTACCTAAATCCTCATCGAGGTATGCTTGTGGCAAGGTGAACTAGATATGACATGGGTAGCATGAGATAATGAGCTAAACAAACAACTAAGAAGCAATGTGGAGTGCCCTTCAGTTCACTTTTGACTGGTATTTGTCCTCCCTCAGCAGCTGTTGATACCAGAGATGGCTGAATTTATTACCCTCAGGTGCACATTAGCTTCAAATCCTGTCATCAGGAGTCACACTGTTTATTTGGTCTTGACGGGCAATATTTAAACGATAGGCATCCAATTAAAGCTGACATTTACCATGGTGTATCTGTCCATGCTGCTTCCTCACACGGTGTTCGTCCTGTTGTCTGTCGATATTGCTCTTCCTCCATCTAGATAATATTGCATCTGACAGTCATGACAGGAAGTAGCGACCACAGGCATTTTCAGAGTTGTGACAGGGGTTTGATAAAAGGATGGAGGAATAAACATCAATTTAGACAGCCTAATAGATAATACTGGGACCCAAAAGCGATTATGGCAGAGATTATGTCTGTGAGATAAAAACTGAGTCTTAGAGGAATATTAAATAAGAATGGATCTGGAATAGGGATAGCAACCTACTGGGACTAGGATATTTATCCTCTCAGTATGATATTAATGATCTAGGCTCAGATGAAATTGTCTATTCACAGGCGCTTAATCAGTTTCCACCTTTAGCACAATCATATGCCTTTAAAAATGTTCTGCAATCACAATGTGACTCTAAACCTGATTATTACAATAAGTCTCATCATTCCCAGAGTCGTCTTTGAATAACCAGTCAGTAGCTTTTGTCTGTAAGGCCTGAAAGTTCATTACCTCATATCTCATTCCTCCCATCTGCTGTTATTTTTCCCACCCTTCACTTTATTGCTAATTAAGTGCTAATCCTGCCCTCATTTCTATGGTTACAACAACACATGTCGTTAGACGGATGTCATCT